CTTTGCTTATCGTTTTGCTGCAAAAAACCTCATAAGCCCTTTGATTGTATCACTTTGGGAGACAAGACATTAATCATCTATAAATATTTCAATGAGACACATTTCACATCTATAAATATTTCAAAAAGACACATTCTACATCTGCAGGACTCATATGATGTCAGAAGAAACTTTCAATGCACCAAAAAGTAAAAACAAAAGGCATATTTCTGTTAGTGTGAGCTGGTATTCCTAATCTGCAGCAGGCACTCTTGTCAAAAAAAAAATTGTGGACTATTAGAGTCCAGAAAGCGTTCAATATATGTTGCTGATGAGTAAAATGGTCAAAAATCTTGTTTGCGTCAAGTTCTATCCCTCAAGAATCTAAACTCTGGATGTACCTCCACGGGGAGAGACCACCAAAATTAAATGCAAGGAAATTGACGCGCTTTTCTAGGCAACAAAAGCAAAATTACCAGAATTAATCTTAAGGATGATACTGTACAAAAAGAAGCCTACGCTGAATATTGTATAAATGTAAATGAAGCAATAATCATTTAAAAAGAACTTTCATGTAGAGAAATGAGAATAGTAAATATAATAAAGAAAACAGAGCAAGTAATTTTACCGGTAGTCGCTGAAATTTTAAATTTAGCTGGCTTCCCGGTTTCAATTGGATCAGGTTGAATCTCGACCCCACTGATCTTAACAGGATAATTGGCTTTCTTATCTGCAGTTATTGCACAACTATAGTCAGTGATAACAGATAAGTTAGTAAAAATGATTCTTCCCATTGTACAATCATGAGGGTACTCCTAATATCTCATTCACAACTTTTAAACTGTAGTATTAAATAATTTCACAAAAAAAAAATTCTTTAGCGAGGATTTTAGAGGCCATATCAGCGGAATGAAGTAGTGGGAAAAGAAAACACCATGAGGAGAAGGGGATTTTTCTTTTTAAGATGATATAAATGTAATCTACTTAAGCACAATCCTTGAGAATTGAGATGCTATAAAATGTAATCTACATAAGCACAATCTTTGAGAATTGAAGAACATAAGAGGATTATCAGCCTACTATCAGAATGAGTCACCATAGAACAGCAACATAGATAAGAAGGATCATGTACCCAAACCAATGAGCTTGCAATTAAGGCCTTGTTGCTGTTATTAATGTAATTGTTATTTCATATGAAAAATGGTTTAAAAAAATAAAAAAAAATTTACTAAAGAGGCAAAGGAAATATCTGTCTACCGCGAAATTTCCCATCAAAAAATGACAAAACAGGAAGCATTTAAACAAAGCAACAAATATATCAATGGCATCGATCTTCCACCGCTGTGTGGACTGTGTACAAGGTCAGCATGCAAGAGAACTAAACTGAAAGATCCCCATTCAAGATTTGTCTAAAACATGGTTAGCTCCAGTTTCCAAGTTTCTTGTGAGATTATCATTAATTGTGTTTTCATCCAGTATTGTACTCAGCAGGAGCATCCATATTTTTTTTCCCTCATAAAATCAGTTAGCAGCTTCAGGTGATTAAGGGTTTCATCACTTTAGCTCTAGAATTTCTAAAAATTCCTGAATAGTGTAAAATTGTTCGAAACTACATTCTAACAATCCTACATTTTTTTGTAATTTCATCGAGATATCTTCGCTGGTTTCAAAGTTGAGATTTTTTTATCCCCACAGAAGGAATAATTGTATAAAAACCCGATTTTTATGCAATTTATACGCAAATAATCAACCGCTGATTGAATATACTAACTAATTTACAGATATTTGAATACAACCCACGCAAAAAGCAATAATTAAACCCAAGATGGCATAAAATCGGAGTTTTTGAATTTGAGTTAAAACCCTAGATTTGTTGAAGAACTTACTGCAATACTCGAAGTCAGTCCCCTGAACGATCAAAGAGGAAAGAAGGCAGACACAGACGACGAGCGCAGCGAGGAGGAGAGAGCGGCGGGGGCCCACAAAGATCGCCATTGTTTCTTGGTTTTTTGAGATCAGAGACTGGTAAAGACTAGAGATTTCCCGAAAATTTATGATAAATAGAGATAATATTTATTAATTTTTTAGGGCTTAATTGCACTTAAATGTCATGTAGTTTTGCTGACCTTGCATTTGAATGCTTTATAGTTTGAGTTTCAAGCAGAACAAAATAAAACTCTTAGAAATTTTTGAAGCATTTAAGTGACGTTATTTATAAACTTTGGGGCATTTATATGCAATCTTGAGCAAACAAGATGGCATTAATGTGACATGTTTTGAAACATTGACGCATTTATCTATAAAAAATAAATACTTTGAATCACTCTTTGTTCGATTTGACAAAAAAGATCACTTAACTGTAAGCTCGGGTAAACTTTAGGGTATTTAAGTGCAATTAAGCGTTTCCTCAGGGATGTGAGGGAAATCGACAACAGATGTTAGTTTCCTCGACTCTTACGTAACTCTTGGACTTTTTGTTTTACTCGTCACGTTCCCATGGTCGGTGTCTCGTGCTCCTTTTTTTAAGGGCTTTATTCATATTAGGTCTTAAATCTTTTTTTCTGCACTTAAGTACCTACAATTTAGCTAATTTTTAACTTTGGTACCTCCAAGTTTTCCAAACAAAATCCTCAAAGTTCATAAATATTTAACTTTGATACCCTAAAATGACTTAACAGGGTATCAAACAGTGGCAAAGCCAGAAATTTTGGGAGGGGGAGGCCAGAAATTTTAATAGTTGGAGAACAACAGAGCTAAGAGAAGACATCAATCTCTTGTCCGCTCTACTAGACTCCGCTAGGCCACCTGAAGTCCAAGCCCAAGATAATATTATTTGACCATTCCACCCATCAGGAGTGTTTACAGTTAAGCCATCCTCAATTTAGGTGGTATCAAATTCCATCTCTTCAACTTCATATGGAAATCTTCTATCCCTCATAAGGTAAAATTTTTTTCTGGGTTCTTAGTCATCAGAAGCTTCACACCAGGGATGCATTAATTAAAAAGGGATGGACTGAAGACACCAGATGCCCCCTATGCAATTTGTATAATGAGTCTCACGATCACCTCTTTATCAAATGTCCTATAACTAGAGAGGTCTAGTCTCTGATTGCCCCAAATCAATAAACAGATAAGTGACCAAACGATATGTCTTCCCTTCTTTTAGGATATCTCGACCAGTCCATTGACTATCGGCTTAGGTC